CTGACCAAATAGGAGGGCCACAACGGACACGAAGACCCCCCCCTTTGCTCTCTTTCTGTACCCAACAAACAATGGTCGTTTACTCGGACATGCATTTAGGTTGCATGCGGAACATTGGTGGGAGAGGGGCTAAATCTGGAACCTAGAGGGCGAGGGATGAAATTGCTTAGTGGTAAATTCTTTAAGCATTAAAGGGACAGAAGTTTTGGCGAGGAATTCCAAAAGACCTTGCCATGCTCGCGACACAAAACGCACAGCCTAATCCGTTGCTCAATGAATTTCGACTAAAGATTCTAGTCATCTAATATCTAGATAACAGGCTAATTACGGTCCAAAGTGCTAACGTTTTTCGTAACATCTCTATACCTTAACCCCTTCGCCGTGATCAAGCGTTTCGCGTGAGCGACAAAACCTAAAGAAGACCCGTATTTCTTTAGTTGGTCCTCTAATCCACCGCAACATTATAGAGTCGATTGGCATTTCATGGAGCCAATGAAGAGGAAAAGAAGGGGTGGTTGATGGGCTTGTCATCCAAGTGTCGGCGCCGCAAAGTGACACTCGTTGATTAACTCTTGCCCCCGATGGACACTAGACACCAATAATCCCTCAGATTCACACAGACATTCCCCCAACTACTAAGGGGGTGCGCGCAAACTGAGAGTCAAAAGATTTGCAACGAATCAAAAAAATAAGCTTACCCGTAGACAGCCAGGCTTGGATTCGGGCTGTTGGGTGACGCGAATCGAATGTCGGGCGCGAAGGTGGAGTACATGATCACGCGCAGGTTCGGCTTGAGACGGAAGGTGCCGGCCTGAAGGAAAAAAATTTGTAAACGCCGTGTAGTGGAAATGGAGATTTTCTATTAAACGCGAAAATCAGAATATCGACGTTTTGATTGGTGGAAAATTCACTTCGACCAAACATCCTACTATATATAAAAAAATAGTGTCTGTGTGTGTGCATTTGCATGCAACTTCCGTGAGGTTGTCTCTCACCTACAGCCTCAGGGGGAAGGTCTTTAGGGTACGTATGATACGTCATTAGGTGCGTAATGGTGCCGAGATGAGTGCACACATATCAAAGCTTTGAAAAATTACTGTTTTGGCAATTAAAATTGGGTTTTTGTAAAGATATCGGAAAATCTCTTTGTTAGGAGCCAATTTGCATGCACCGGAAGTGGGGAAAGCCTATATAAGGGGGTAGAGGGGTCCTTTTCCTTTTTTTTGCAATCAAGGATCGGGAAGAAATATGTGTGCGTTAGACGGGGCCAGGGTTGAAAAGCCGCGCAGCGGTTTTTCAACCCTGGTCATTTGTAAAACTTTCAGTATGTCGGGAATACATGGACAACGGCGTCAGGCCAGAATATTTATGGCGGCATTCTGATTTTCGACTATATGAAAATTATTCACCTCTGTCTTCATGAAAATGCAGGACTCAGGGTCAGCCTCGTGCCGCTCGAGCTCCGTCATGAAGTACCTAAATAAAAGCTGTAAGAATCATCTAATATACTCACTTGATCATGCTGCGACGCGCCAGGACGATGGACTGCATGTGCACCAGGACGTGTCCGTCGGCTGATTTTAGCTGAAAAAATTCGGCATTAGAACCAAAAACATAAACTCACCAGCCCAGGCTCAATAGTGCTTTGCATGCAGCTGCCAATTGAAAGAAGACGCTTTTCGTCCTTCTCGTTGATCAAGTAAAAGCTAAAAAATAAGAAGTTTCGAAAACCCATTACTCTTGCACCAAAAAAGTTGAAAAACGTACGCCGCCATGTCCGAGCATCGTCCCAGTCCGTAAAATCCACACATTTGGAAGTATTCTCGTTTCGTGAACTCGGCAATCTAAAAAAAATTTCGTTTCAATGTTCAAAAGATAGCCAAACCTCATAGCATCTCTTGCTGGTGCCCAGGCAAGGAGCCGGGTCGTTGTTGAGGGTCTCATCGTAGTCAAACTAAAAAGTCGATGAAAAAGCAGTAGTAAAAGTACCTTGAAGATGCCCTTTAGCGCCTGGTGTGCCGCATCGTTCTTAGCGGATTTCTTGCTCTTGCCGACGCCGAAGAACTCCTCCTAAAAGGAAGGTTAAAAATGCCGCTGAAGCATACCTTGTCGTTAATCTTGATTTTCACGCGGAAGTTGGGGATGTTGCCAGGTGTTTCGGACGGGAGATCTTCATAGACCATGGTGGGCATTTTCTGAAAGATATTATTTTAAACAATGGCTCATAAAAACCAACTCCACGGTGCAGTTTGGTGAGAAGAAGATGAAGCTTCTGTGTTGCCGGTACAGGAACCACGGGCTTGGTCGATAGATTGTCCATATCGATATCGAATACCTAAACAAAAATAAGCAAAATCCTAAAAAGAAAATTACCTCCAAATTGGCCTTCTTGGCTGCGTTCAGCTTCGCCTCCATTTTCGAGGCGGCCGGCGCACCAGTGATTTTATTTTTTTGGTCGGCTAAATCACAGATGACAAGTCAAAGAAAGCACCATACGATTGCTCTTATCCGTTATCATCAGTTCCGCGTAGTATCCGGTTGGCCCAGGCTGGAATTTCTAAAGTAAAATATTTAGATTCATGATATTAGCTAACCGTCACATCTTCTTTCTCCTTCTCCAAAACGGTGAAGGTGGCCTCGCGGTTCATCGAGGCAGTGACGTGATAGAGCACCTAAAATACTGTTAATAATAAGTGCTATGCCTCGAACCTGGAGGGCATTCATTTGAGCCAACTTCGGCACCAGTGAGCGTTTGACGATTGTTTGGATCTCGGTGTCGGAGACGCCAAATAGTGTGGTCAGTGCCTAAAACGCAATATTTCGAGAAGAGCAAAAATCTGATGTACCTCGCGAACTGCCATATCCTTCGGATTCGTCTTCCCATAGCCCTCCGTCACAAACGATTTGTTTTGGTTCGGGAACGAGAGAGTGAACCTGAAATGAGAAATGAGAGTGCATGTTCTTAAATAGCTTACCGGAACTTGTGCTTATTCGGCGGTACCTTGGCCTGATCGCCCTCGGTGATGTTGGTGTGTTCCATCTTGATCTCTTCAAATCCGGGGTGGTCCAGGCACATCTTCCGCAACAGATCGACCAGGGATAAAGCCGATTCCATCGGTGGCACCCGGTTGCCAGCATTTTCCTAAACAAAAATTGATGATACAAAAATAACATGCTTCTTTTATAAAGCATGTTTTTTTAACATTCCCCTTTCTAGATGAAAAGGGAAAGTCTTAGTGGCCGCTGAATAATTTCAAAATCTCGGAGAAATTTTCCGGATTTTTTCACACAATCACGATCTTTTCGCCTTTCTTGGCCCAACACAAAATGGTACAAAACGGACAAGTACGACAATTGCAATCCAAGAATCATACTTTCTGGTTTGCCTTTGTCGTCGCGCCCGTCGTAGCCTCCTCAGACATCTAGAAGTGCGTTTATAGAGATGTGATGGTATGAAAAAAGACAGTGCGCTTGCGCGAGAGAAACGTAAAACCTGCAAACATGAAGAACACGAAGTTACCTTCGCCTTCTTCTTTGGGGGCTCTTGCTTTGGAGCGGCAGGCTTCTCTGTGTCTTCCCACGGCGAGATTTGAATGTCCGGGCGCAGGGCTTTCAGCACAGCTTCAGCGGCTTTCTAAAGTGAATTCCTAGTCAAATCAGCTAGCTTACCTGCTTAGCATACTTCTTATTATTCCCTTCACCAATATATTCGCCTCCTTCGACGGTGACAATCGCGCGATACATCTTTGGGATCTGTCCCGGTGGCTTCGCGTCGACTGGCTCGCAGCGTTCCTGGACATTCCTAAAAAAGGTTACATTTTCGTAGAGCGCAACAAAAACGCACTTGAAAAGCTCGTGCAGCAGCATGGCAGGCGACTTCCCGGTGGGATCGTATGGTTTCTTAACAGCGCTTTGTCGCTTCTTATCCTGCCAGTTGTTGCTCTTCTTCGGGAACCCGAGGCCAGCCTTCGAGAATGGAGACGGGCCTGCGAATCCCTCCATCGGCGTGTAGTTCGACATTTGGGCATTCTGGGCCAGCTTGTTCGATTGAGGCTGCGCCCAGTATCCGCCAAGAGGTTTGTTCTAAAAATAGACTTGAAGACCCAGATTTTGAAGGTGTAGGATATCAAAATCTTCAACACTTACTTGTTGTGGGACGCCCACCCGAACGGTCCCGTGGCCAGCTTTGACGTATCACCGACGGCGAACGCAGAGTTGTATTGAGCGTTCAGCTGGTCCTTGGTTTGCTGGAGCGGCGGCTGCACGTTTCCCCAGCCGTATTGGTAGCCGGGTAGGGGTTGTTGAAGTCCATTCGCACGCGCAGCTATCTAGCCAAGGTTGAATTCCTGGAAAATCAGGGTTTAGTTGGGGACCGAGCAAGAAGAAGCTGAGAAGAAAGCGGGTATTCATTGATTTCTGACAATACCGTTCTCGCAAACCCTCAAATCTATAGCGCCTCGACCCGCAGTACCTACCGCAACAACTCCGTTACTAGGGACCACTTACTCTGGCTGTTTGAACGCAGAGGGCGGCTAGCTACGGTAAGAAAATGACCACTGGCTCGTTGCCAGTTGCGCCCCAGGCGGGCAGCCGAACAACAAAAAAACAACAAAAGTTTACACTTTGTAGTCAGAAAAAGATATATTTAGCTAAAAATTCAAGTTTAAAATAAAAAATTATTTGGCTTCGATGTTTTTCGGCCAGTCAGGTCAAAATGTACAAAAATCCGGATGCTCGAAAAATATAATTCCACTGCTGAACGCTTGATTTCTAAAAGTTGGGTTCAATTCTAAAAGATTCTAAAATCCACACAATTCTGTCGCCAAATGGTATTTTCTAAAAGGTGGATGCCTGCTAAGTCCCGGCTTCTTTAGCGAACCCTTGTTTGCTAAATGTGGGATAACTGTGTGATCCGATCCATTAGTGTTTTTACTTCTAAAAAATTGCTGCTACTTCAAGAAAAACGTATTTTATCTCCAGAATTGCAGGTAGATGTACAAATGACGACTGAGAGGGAACAACTATCCCGGCTGGTGAAGCAATGGAACGAGAACCGGCTCGACCTCTTCCATTTGACGCAGCCAACCGAGGTTAGTTCTTTCAGTTAAGCATTAAAAACATTTGCTGCTTTTAGGACCTCGAGATAGAGGGCGTGATGAGGTTTTACTTCCAAGACGTTGGCGAGCGAGTGTCGACAAAATGTATTCGTGTTTCTTCCACTGCTACTACACGCGCGGTCATCGATGCGTTGGTGGAGAAGTTCGTTCCTGATCTGAAGATGCTCACGGTCCCAGAATATTCGCTATTCAGGGAGGTTCCGGGAGGTGTGTTTGATGGGTTTTTTAGGTTTGCAAGCTAAAAGTCACTAGAATTTCTATCAAAAATGTCGTTTTTAGGTGGCGAGGAACGTAAGTTGGACCTCGAGGAGAAGCCTCTAGTGGTGCAGCTTATGTGGCATCGGGATGACCGGGAGGGTCGATTTCTTCTGAAAAAACATGACAGCCAATATCTGCCGCTTTCGGTGAGAAAGTTTTATCTATTTATCGTGACAGGCTCACATACGGTGTTATTTATGTCATTCCCCAAACATTTTCTGGCTTCAGCAGTTTCGATGTTTTTCAGGCGCTCCAGCTGCATGACGACAAAGATTCTAGTGTCCTCCCAAGCGCTTTTCAGACCGGAAAAGAATTGAAGAAAAAGCATCAGGGAATCGGTGGGGATTTGATGAATCTGGGACTATTTTTTGCTTTGTGTAAAAACTCCGTATTTTTTCTGGCCTCGCCGTCTTTTGTGGTCTATTATTGCTTTATCGGGGGATGATGATGCTTGCTCCTCTTGAGTGAGCCGGATTGGGGTAGGATCAGCTGTCCGGAACAGGGCCTATCTCCTTATCTGCCGCTGAACCTGTTCTCGCCAGCCAGCTCGGCGGGATCCCTGTTCGCTGCCCCGCTGGCATGGCCTTTCTTTCCCTTCGCGCAGGCATTCGTCCAGAAATGTCCGAAACGTAGGACTCGCTTGAAATCGGGCGGTGATATTAATTTATCATTTTTAGCTCTGAAATCTTATTTGTTTCCTGCACTCTACAAATAAGCCTATTTCAGTTTCCGTGAACACCAACAGAGAGGGAGGACCCACCTAATCAGATATCTATCAACAGAGTGGATTAGCTGACGTCGATTTTCAAGAATTTTTTAGGTTCCAGCCACCACATTCCACGCACACCATCCCTCACCCCGAGGTGGTTATGAAAGAGGCGCGAGCGGAAGCTTGAAGCCAAGTTTAGACGAGATGGGGCAGCAAGGTTATTCCTTCCCAGTTCCATTGACTGGGATTTAGGTGGAAGTCTGAAGGTGTATGGCGCGGAACTCGATGCCACGCGTACGTATGTGACGCTGCTCGTCAGCATGCGTGATCGTGCTGCTCAAATTTTGCGAGAAGCCCTGAAAAGTACAACCTCGGCCATCTGAATCTCGAAGAATTTTTGTCTTGTTGAGGTTCGTTTGAGATGCGTTATTGTTATTGACAGCGGGATCATCTAAAAAGTTCTTATTATTTTTACCTATTTAAATACACCTTCAGTTGACCGCCGATTGAGATTTTTTTGTGTGAGTTAAAGCTGTCGTTCTGTGCTTTGTTATTCTTGCTGATAGTCACTATATCAATCTCATATCCGCTTACAACTTATTTTTAGAGCACTTCCCCACCGGATATCAGAAGATCCGCTGGAATGATCTAAATGTGTGGTGGGCGTGGCTCCGGAACTGACTTCTCCACCCCGACGAGTGCCCTTTGATCACGGTAGGTGCAAAATTCCTTTGACCTGCAGGAACAAACCAGTGCTTTGATTTTCGACTCTTTTGGCTCCTGCGCTCATATCAATCACGAGTTCCAGATCGCCAACCGGCCACCCGGTGCTCCGGAGGTCTTTTTCCATATCCGGCGACGACCCAGTCATTATAATCGCGTAGGTTTAGTGTCTTAAAACATTAGTATATTTTCTTAGATTTCGAACGCATCGGTGACATCAGTCGCGGGCTGCCTTCAAGGGGGTTTGCCACGGATCCTGCGTTTGTTCTTCAAACGGCCGGTAATTTTATTTTAAAGAAATAGCACAGAATTTGCCTTATTTCTGTCCCTCAATAACCCGAGAATTCAGATGGTTCTCGAGGTGTCTGTTACCAGTGATGGATGGTGTGACCGGGTCGGGTCCGACAAATATCTGGCTGAATTCTCGCCGCAAAAACATTATCGTGAGTTTTTTGAGCAATTCGGATTTTGTGGTTGTAGCTTCGCGCTACTGGTGTGCCCGGACGGCATTGTGTCATCAACTTCGAGCAGGGTGTCGTGACTCTGACGCCAAGTGCATCGGATTCATATATTGAGGGTTGGAATAACTTTGCAAGAATAACTTAAAAATAAGCGTTTTAGGTAAACGGCCGCCCGATCGCCCAGACAGCCATCTAAACGAGGGAGATTTGATTCGTTGGGTCCTGAATGCTTGCTGCGATATGTCCATTCTAAGGTTTGTAGTTTAAAGGAGGACTGGTCCAGTTTTTTTATCCAGCCGGCACGTTGTCACTGACACTTAATTTTCCATAATGCCAATTTTTTGTTACGCTAAATTGTTGTAAATTTTTGGCATTTCGGCGATTAGAAAAATTTCGGTAGACAATTCAGCGTTATAATATTTAGGCATTAAAACAATTCGGTAATTATGGCGGCGATTGGTAGCAGGAATCTATCAGATCTCGGATTTCCGGCCTCTATTTCTGGTAATCTCACATTCAAAAAGCTGGGGCAGGTGATATTCCTAAAGCTATAAATGCCGAGTTAGAGTATGGAAATGTCGTTATCCTAGAAATTCCCAGTATCCGATATTCTAAAAATTCGGAGATTCCTCTAAACAATGTCCTTTAAATCCTCAAGTCCCACCCCTCCCTATATTGCTTTGATCTGGGCCCTCCAATGACGCTTGGGGATTTCCTAGCTAGGAGTCCTGTCCGGGTCCTCCTCTCTCCCCTCCTCCTTCCCTTCCCGTGCTTTGTGGTGGTGTCCTGCGGTGAGTGTCTCGGGTGGCAGTGGACCCTCTCTCCTCCACCTCATCCCCCCCCCTACTTCCCCTCACTGTATCCGGCCCTTTTTAGGAGGAGAGGTGGAACAGTCCCCAGTCCTCTTGACGCATTTTGTACGCTCTCAGGTTATCCCATTTGTCCTTGAGCCGCCTTCCCCTCCTCCCCCTCCCCCCAATACTCTCCGCAATAGTTTTGCGGCCCGGCCAATGGTTCAATCCAGCGGGTGCAGGGTTTTTAATGGGGTTTTGGCCTCGATTTAGACATATTAGACTCGATTTTGCGTCTATTTTGGTTCCCTTAAAGGCCTATAAAAAGTTTTTTTGAAAATTATTTTTTGTCTATTTCAGGCACACGCCGACCATTTGCCCCCGCCGTCTTTTTCACATCAGCTGCAACAACGAAGGTAATTTTGTTTTGCTTTTGGGTAGATGGTTTTTGGGTATCCGTTGAACCGAACCACTCGTGCTTGCAGTTTTGCTAAAATAATTTATGCACTTTTTCTTGATAGTCTACTTTAGCTCTGGGTGGCTCTCGTTGAAACGATGACTTTTGTTTCCAATTTGTTTTTAAATTACCCGTTTTATTGAAAATTCGACTTACAAAAATGTTACTAAAAAGTTCGCTTTGAAACCATTTCGGCTCGTTGACCTCATCGTATTCTGCTTTTTCTATTGCAGGTGGGCAAAGCCATCGGACCGAACCACTTTGTATTCCCGTGTTCGAAATCTGATCTGAAATCTTTTCTTTTTTGACACCATAGGGTGTCTAGCCCCCTTTAAATCTTTTCGACTGGTCGTACTCATTATATTCTTTATTTATATTCTTGAGCTTCCGCCAAGAATGAGCCCATATCGAAATGATCGAACCACCCCCATATCCTATTCTCTACTCCTCTCCTTCTTTTTCTTCGGCTTCCGAAATCTGAGCCTCGGCGGCTTGGTCCTGTATCCGGACCAGCCCTTCTGCATAGTTGCCCATCCCCCGCCTCTCCGCGTCCATCCAAGCGTATTTTGACGCGCACTATTTTCCGAGGCCGTCCGTGTGTGTGTGAAGGGTCGTCCCCGTGGCCGCACCCGACTTCTTCTTCTTCTTCTCGCACAATATCGGCTCGCTTTCTGCCCTCGCAATCCGGTCAATCTGCCGTGTCGGCGGCCAGTTTTTGCTGGGTTGACTTGGTGAGAGGGTTTCTGGATTCGTTTTTAACAAAAATATTTTGGTACTGGGCTGTTAGCGGGGACTATCTAGCCTATACCTACCTTATTAAATCGGCATAAAGATATTTAGATCGCTTTAAAATCTGGAATTTGACCATTTTTGTTTATTTTGGCCAAAAAAACTAAACTTTTAGAAAGTTTTATTAAATTTTTGTGAACTTTTAGGATTTAAAAATGGCGTAGAATCTATATAGATGGCTTTTGCTTTATTGTAACCTTACGGGCACGATAGGCCATAGTTAGAGCCAGGTTAGGTCTCCCCCTAACAGCCGATTACCATTTTTTTTAATATCTTTTACGCCTCGATATACTTTTAGTCTCAGCACATTCTTAACTTTTTCGTGAGGTTCCCATCCATCAAACCCACCAAGCCCACTGCAGACTCCGTATGGGGGTGAATTACGAGCTTAGCCTTTACCTCCAAAGGTGGCTCTCCCCTACTTTTCCGCCGCCTGAATCACCCTTATCAGCCCGTTCGATGAGTCACAAATCGGGCTCTCCGTACCACTGACAGCCCTCCTGTTTTCCCACCCTGACGGCCCATTTTTCCATTCCACCCCGTTGGCTTATCGATCTCTCGGCCAGGGCCGACGTACGCTTCGGAATATTCGCATTTCTGATCGACTTCCTAACTTTCCACTACCTTAACTCTTTACCCAACCGTCAAACGCGGCAGGCCGATCGCTATCGAGCGCAGAGCGTCACGGACTTACGCCAGCCAGCACACCGTCGAAGGATTCGGCTCACATCTCGACAAGCTATCCCCTACAAGGGCCACTTCTAAGCCGGTGATCCTAGGATTGACTGGCCTGAAGCATTCCGGACCATCTGCTACTTAGGATTAGTCATCATCGGTCAATGGAGGCGCTCCATAGCTTGGTCACCCACCCCGGCACCACGCCGACCCATTGTCGATGTCAGCACTTAGGCAGCATGTTTTTGAAGGGCATGTACGAATTTTGTTGGAAAATCTTGTTTAAAAAATTCTAGAAAAGAAGTTTTCCTGATTTTTCGCTAAATTTTGTACTGAATTTACTTTGGCGCTAAATAACTAACCAGCTGTCACTGATAATAAGAACCTGGGGGAGAATATAAATAATTCCTAGCCTTCAAATTCTTTCTTTTTATTCATCATAATAACAATTTTCAAGACAAGGGGATTTGGTGCATATTTTATTCTGATTTTTTTAATCAATAAGCTAAAAACGGACTAACGCTAAAAGCATTCGAATTCAATGTAGTGATCTTTTATAACTGGTCACTTCCCTTTTGTCATTTTTGCAAAGGTATGGAAATTGGGCGCGGGTGATTCGGTTCAAGTGATCCCATCATAAAATTATGAGAAACGGTTCTATATTCCAAATTTTAGACTATCCGGCTCCTCGATGGGCTCTACCACCCGGGCGAAGCCAGGCTGAGAACGCCGAATCGGGTACGTCTACGCAGTCATTACCTAGAGAATTAATTACCTTATTATTTTCAGCAAACCCTGGCTATGAGACCCCGCAGATAGCGCAACCGATGACTAACATCCCCCAGGGCCCACCTATGTCCATTCAAGTCAGCGACTACAAAGTCTGGGATTTTTCTTAATGAGGTTCGTTTTAGCTTTTTACTGGATGCACTGAAAATACATGGCAATTCGACGCAAAATCCAAAAATTTAGGTGCTCTCCCACGGCAGCGAAAGTCTTTCGGCTGGCCCCATCTTTCGCCCTGTATTTGGCCCTGCGCTTCTTCCACACAAACCACAAGCCCTACCTCGTCAATTCATCTCTCTCGCATCGCTACTCGCAGTTGGCTCAGAGAACTCAGGAATGCGACAAGGCCGAAGAACTGCTTTTCTGGTTGGCCAATGCTGGCGAGCTCTCCTTCCTCGTCGACAGCGACTGCGAGATTCGCCCGCTTGCACAGCAACAGGGTGGTCAGTTTTTAGACAACCCTAACTTTAAATGGTTTATTTCAACAGCATCATCAAACCTGGATTAAAGAAATATAAGATTAGTGATTTTCAGTAATTTTTACTCGTTTAGCATCCCTTTCCGCGTGTTATTCGAGCCCCTCCTCCGCAAAACTGTGGACGTTCTGACGGAGAAATTGCTGCAAGCCCCGGAGTGTTTTTCGATGAGAACGTCTCCGACAAGCAAGCTTACAAGTATCACAAGCTCCAATTTTCCCAGGATTCTTTGTTTAGACATTGTCATCTCACCGTGCTCGATGCTTTTGTGAGGTGCGCAAGAAGTGTTCGGCTGAATGCGGCATTGACGATTCAGGTACAACAGAAATCTGCTTTTCAAAGGTCAAACCCATTCTTTAGATTGCTAGTCTTGGCTCTCATATTCTTAACGCGACGCTATTCAACGCACTGATCGGGAAAGCAACAATTTGTGGGTTTTTAAGTTTGTTCTCCTTTTAATTTTTCGATGGTTTC